GAACTGGGCGTAGAACCCCTCCCAACACTCGGCGCCGTCGACCAAAACCAAGGGGACCCCCCTCCGCCCAAACCCCCACCCTTCCGAACCTCCCCCCCCTCCCATGGGGGGGGGGTCAAACCCCCCGCCCCCCCCCCCTCGGCGCCGGCGCCGGCGCTCGCGGTCGACAGCAGCGCCGGCGGCGGGGACGCAGCGACGACGACCAGAGGCAGCAGCCCAAGGGGGACAGGACAGGACAGGACGCCGACGATCGTCCTGGAGGACGGCCCTATAAAGAGCACGGCGGTGGCGCCGGAGCGCCGGAAGCACGTTGGCTCCCTGATGCCGGAAAGAAACGAGTGCACTCTGCAACGAAGGACTTCGGTTATGCCTTCACGCTCCTCTGGAGGCGAACTGGGAAGCTGACAAGCAGCGAAGCAAAGAGGAGGATGGGGGAGGAAAACCAAATAAACGAATTGGATGTGCGATTGCAGCCAAACGTTCAGAGAATCTACCGGTGCTCATCGACATGGCTGTACCTATGTTATTAGAGAGGCTGGCCAAACGCCAATATGTAATACAATTCCAATTGCAACGTATGCCCTATTATGTGGAAAGTGATCCTTGGCGAATGCTTTCTTTGACAGACGACCGTAAACGCAACTGCGGACCGAAGTGGCATTGGCAACCCACTCTTCCAACACAGTTCCCTGGCGAGTATTTTGCCGAATTTCCCATGTAGAAGATGTTGATGTGTAAATTTGCCCGCGGAACCCGACCAGACAAATCTCTCGTTGCACGAGCGGCTCCACCAACGTTCCTTCGAGAAGAAAACCTTTGCAACCAAGTATGATCAATGATCGAACGCTGCCCAGCAGCACGTCGCAACGATGTTGAAAGATTAGCCTACGTTGGTGCAAAGATTCGCCCTCCCACTCAAGAGTCTCGTTGTTGTCGCCGAATAACAAATTCATATGTTCTAACTTCATCTGAGTTGTTTGCGCCATCCCTGCCAAATACTCAACATGTTATCCGAGGAATTGGGGGCATCTTTGTTCGCCTCTGTGTTATCGTCGAACTCTGCCGTATACTCGGGACCACCAACAAAATCTAATTGAATTGGTTCTTGCAGTAAGCGATCGCACACGTTTTCAATTTTCAGGAAATCGACTGTTATGTATGTATATTTGTTCACATCGTCCGACTCGCACTGACAAATCTCCGTGCCTCACCGCCCCATGATATGTTGATCCGTTTCCCTCGACATACTCCACCCTGCGTTTTAAATCCGCCACTTCTGCGAAGATGCAATTGACCTTGCCTTGCAACTCTTGAAAAGAATTTTGAAGTACCGGCTCCTGCTTTGACTTTGGTCGATGGGGCATTCTTCGACGACCCAATGAATTAAACTTCCACCACACCACAAAGCAACGCGCCGGAATCGCTGTGACACCGGGCGCTCGCACCAGCAACTGCCAATTGTTTGATACCGAACTGTCAACAAGGCGTCCACACTGCTAATGAAGGCAAACACGCTTTGACAAGGGAGAATGTATCAGTATAGTGCGATGCTGGGCGAGTCTGCAAAAAACCTTGAGCCAACTTGAACCTTGAGCCAAAGGGGGGGGGCGTTCAAAATCTCCCTCCCCCACCCTGGCGCCGGCGCCGGCGCCAGCGCTGGCGGCGGCCAGTAGCGCCGGCGCTGGCGCCAACGACGGCGGGGACGCAGCGACGATTACCACCAATACCACTACCACGACCACCGCCACCACCACCATCACCGCAACACCACCACCACCACCACCAACCCCAACACACCACACAGACACACCACCAGCACCGCCACCACCAATCACAACAACACCACCACCACAATCATCACCACCACCACAAAAACCCACCACCACTACCACCACCACCACCACAATCTACCACACCACCACCACCACCGCCCACAACCACCACCACACTACCAGCAACACAAACCCACCCCACCACCACAAACCACCAACACCACAACCACCACAACCACCGCCACCACCACCACCACCACCTCCACAACCACCGCCACCACCACAACCCACCACCACCACCACCACCACAAACCACCACCCCACCACCAAACCACCACCACCACCACACAAACAACCACCACCACCACCACCACCACCACCCCAGCGCCACAAACACCACCGCACCACCACCAAACCACCACCACCACCACCCACCACCACCACCCACCACCACCACCACCACCACCGCAACCACCACCACCACCATCACAACCCACCACCACCACAACAAACCACCACACCACCACCACCACCACAACCACCACCAACGCCACCACCACCACCACAATCCACCACCACAACCACCACCACCACCGTCGTCCTCGTCGACGCTCCTCGCCGCCGCTGCCCGCCGCCGCAGGCGCCGGCGCCGGCCCAGAAAAAGGAAATCGTCGTCCCCGCCGCCGCCGCCAGCCGCCGCCGACGCACGCGCCGGCCCGAGAAAACGAAGAGAGGAAAAGTAGGGGGGGGATGGGGGGTGGGGGGGGATTCGAACCGCCCCCACCCCTCTCGTCACGGGAGGGGGGGGGCGGTTCGAACCCCCCCCCCCTTTCATCCGGGGGGGGGGGGGGTCCGGTTCCACCCCCCCCCCCAAGCAACCACAGAACGCGCTCTTTCTAACATGAGGAAGGGACCTCAGAGCGCCGAACAGGATGCCCGGCCATCAGACACGCATGAAGTGTCGACGCGCGCTCAACGGCAAATCCCTTAGCCATCGCGGACCAAGAAGTGATCTTACAGATGAGCACTTGCAACTGCTGTCTCTTGGAGCGGGCTCGCCGCTGCTCCGCAGAGGCAGTGTCGAGCGCGCTGCGGGCCTCCAGCCGCGACCTCCGGGGGGGGGGTCAGCTGGCGGGCCGCTGCTTGGCAGAACTCCGTGGGATAGTTAGACTGCCGCTGGGCTATCGCACGGCAGGCGCGCCTTGAGCAAGGACCGACCGTCCCGGCATTCCTATAGGCCTATCATGATATGCTCTTGGAACTCAAGAATGTTGTAATAACAAAAACAATGCTCCTAGAACGCAAGCCCGATGTGCTGAAACAAAACAGTCCCGGCCAGAAACGTTCTAATAACGTTTCGTGCAGACCAGAAGCGGTTATTTGAACATTCTTTGGTAGGCCTATAGGCAAGTTATGACGCTTCGTCACTGCTTGAGCGCTTGCGTGCGCGGGCATCGGCGGCGGGCTGGGCCAGTTCACCGTAGTTGTTGCTGCCGGACGGGTCGAGGCCCTCCTCGGCAGCGCGCTTGCGTAGGTCATGAAGATCAAGAATGTCAGGATCGTCGCCAAAGTTGCTGGCAACATCACTGACGCATCCATGGGAGTGCCGCTCCCGTCCCGCATCTCCGTCGCCATCGCGAGCATGCGCTTCCATTGGTCCATTGTAACAGCGCTCTTCCCGTCGAAGCGGGCAAGGTCGGACTCGGCGAGGGCGTGCAGGCGCAGCTCGATCCACGCGAAGTCGACCCCTCCTTGAGGGATGCGGCCTGGGAGGTGGGGCCCCGCTGCAGCGCCGAGGGCGCCAGCGTCGCCTGCGGCGCTCGCCGCCGCTGCGCCAGCGCCAGCGGCGCTGCACGCGCCTCCGCCCGCGCCATGCGCGGCAGCGGGCACAGGCGCCTGCGGGGCGCCCCCGCTCGCGCTGGCACCCGCAGCGCCAGCGGCAGGATCAGCGCTGTCAGCACGAACTTGACGAGCAGCAGCAGCAGCAGCAGCAGCAGCAGCAGCAGCAGCAGCAGCAGCAGCAGCAGCAGCAGCAGCATCAGCAGCAGCAGCAGCAGCAGCAGCAGCAGCCTGCGCCTCCTTGGCGCGACGCCCCTCATCCAGTCGCACGGACGCACAAAACTGGTCGGCGTTGAACAGGTTCTTCTGAGCGACTGCAATGCGCAACTCAGCCGCCTGCTCCTTCAGGTACTTGGTTGCCCCGGCCTGGGCGTAGCCGGCCTTGGCGAAGGCCTCGCGGTGCTTGACGACGGAAGCCAGCTTCTGCTCGACTGCCGCCATCGTGACCATCTCCGCCTTGGGATCCACCCCGGCCTCCTTCGACAACCCCGTGAGTTTGGCAACGACGAGTTTGTCGAGGTCGGTCTCGGAAGCTGTGGCCACCACAGGTGGCACCTTTGCGGTCTTCGCCTGGACAACCTGCTGATCGGACGCCAGGTCAAGGAACGGCTTGGCCAGCATCGCGAGGTGCTCTGAGAGAGATCGTCGGGCCTGACATTCGCCCTCACCGTGGTCGTAAACGTGGTCGTCAGGCTCGCCGACGTACTGACCTTGGCACACGCTGCTGCAGCACCAATTGCCTCGACGAGCGTGGTCCGTCTGGCGGTCCTTCGCCCACGGCGTGCGTCACTTCCACACCATGACTAAGCAGGAAAGACTCCTGCCCACGGGCCAGCACACAGCCTGTAGGCGTGGTTTCAAAACAATGAAGTTTAGCCGCGGACTAGCGGCGTCCGCTTGCTCCCTTGCGGAACCCATCATCTTGAGCACAAATGGCTACGGGAGGAGGAGGAGGAGGAGGAGGAGGAGGAGGAGGAGGAGGAGGAGGACGAGGAGGAGGCGGAGGAGGTGGAGGAGGAGGAGGAGGAGAGGGAGAGGAGGAGGAGGAGGAGAAGGAAGAGGAGGAGGAGGAGGAGGAAGAGGAGAAGGCGGACCAGAAAAAACAGGAAACGCGCGAGGGGCAAGATCGCGTCGGTGCGGGGCATGTGTGCGCAGGAGGAGAACGAGGAAGATGTGGACGACGCGAAGCCTTGCTTCTCCCGGCAGCGCTGCGCGGCCCGAGCGTCCGCCACACACGTCTCCGAACTGGGCCCGCGGCGGCTGCCGCCCAACGCCGCGACGCGCAGCGGGCTCACTCAGTGCCTGCCCCCGCCGCCCGCACTGCCCTTTCTCGGCGGCGCGCCCAGGGGGGAGGGCAGAGGCGGCGGGCCTTTTCACAAGGCTCGGAAGGCCTCGGGCCGTATGGGAAGCTTGCGGAGCCCTCTCCGAGGCTTCGCGGAAGGCCAGAGAACTTCTGAGAAGCCCCGCCGCCTTCCGAGAAGCCCCGCCCCACTCTCTCTCTCTCTCTTTCTCTCTCTCTCTCTCTCTCTCTTTTTTTTGTTTCTCTCTCTCTCTCTCTCTCCCCCCTTGAGCGCACCGACGCCTCTCCTGAGAACTCCCAGCCGCACGGCAGGTTGGCGTCGCTATGACCTCGGCCTTGGTCTCTGACGCCGTGTGGACCATTCAACATGGAGGCGACCAGGGGTCTGCACTGGTGGGGGCCAGAGCAAAGTGGTCAGGAGGGGGGATGAAGCCAAATCCGCTCAAGATCTGTCCCCGGACCTGTCCAGGGCTCCATCTGGTGCAGCTCTTCACCCCGGATCCATTTTTGAGGGTCCCAGGGGCCCTGAACAGCCCCCCGAGGCCGAACATGGCCAAAACATTCCCGAGCCCAGAACCTCGAACCTGCCCCCCCATTTCCCGCTGGCTGGATCCGATGCTGGGCCACATCAGGCCCCCAGGAGACAGTTTCTTTTTGAATCGGCGATAACCCAGGCTATCCGGGGGAGGAGGGGGGGGCCGGCCGATAACCTAACCTTCGCGCTGTGTGCAGCCCTGCATATGCCCGCACCCCCCCTCTCCCGCGGACCTGCTGCACAACCCGCAAGGTTATCCTGGAGGGGGGGGGGCAAGCCCGATAACCCGGGCTGTCGCCCGACCCTCAAGAAAACAGTCTCCAGCCGACTCCAGCGTTCAACCTCTCGAGCGGTCGGGGCCCTCCGCCCGCGCAGACATCCCTCGCCGTCGATCCCAGCTCCCGGCCGCCGGCGGCGGCGGCGCGTGGCCCCGGGGCGCGCAGGGGCCACCGCCGCGCCGACGCGGCGCGAACCTGCCGCAAGTTCCTCCCCCCGTCCTGCGCGGCGGACAGACGCCTCCGCGCCCTTCGCGGTCTGGACTCTGGGGCGCGATCCCGCGGATGCGCGGTGTCACGGACCCGCTCCGCGCGGGGCGTCCGCGAAAAGCCGCGGGCGGGGTCGCGGCCCAGGGGCCCGGCCCGCGCGGCCGCGGACACGGACATGTTCCCCCCCCCGCGAGGAAGGGCATCCCGAGCGGATCCTTCGCTATGCGAGGTCACTCGTTCTGAGGGCCGCCTCCCTCAAGGCCCCATCGCTGGACCGCCAATCCTGCCTCCTCGCTGCCGCCTCGCGGACCTATCATGATCTCCTCCTCTCGCCTCCCCGCTGCCGCCTCTGTGAGGCCCCCCCGAGGCCCGCGAAGGCGTCCGCCCATGCCTCCAGCGGCTCCCCCCCAGTGTTCCCCGAGAGGTCAAGACGTCGGAAGCCTCGATCCTCCTCCTCCTCTTCTTCGTCGTCGTCCTCCTCCTATTCCTCGTCCTCGTCCTCGTCCTCGTCCTCGTCCTCGTCCTCCTCCTCCTCCTCCTCCTCCTCCTCTTCCTCCTCCTCATCCTCCTCCTCCTCCTCATCCATTCCTTTTCCTTGTGAGTAACTCATCCCTGTCGCACCGGAAGGTCAGTCGGAAGGGCGGGCAGGGCGTTTCGCCCGAGACTTCCTTACCACTTCTATCCATGATGAGCGTGAAGCTCAAATTCACAGATGGAGGGCGGGCCGCTTCCATAATGTGGCTCCCGCCTTAGCGCCGGGTACATTCGTCTTTTGAAATTTGCAGGATCTGCGCGGATTGAGGACACATCGTTTTCAACATGTGGCTCTCACCGTAGCGCCACGCACATTCGTCTTACAAAGGGCGAGTCGAGACGACAGCAGCCCAACATCGGCCCCCAGAGGAGGAGGAGGAGGAGGAGGAGGAGGAGGAGGAGGAGGAGGAGGAGGAGGAGGAGGAGAGGAGGAGGAGGAGGAGGAGAGAAGGAGGAGGAGGAGGAGGAGGAGGAGGGAGGAGGAGGCGGAGGAGGAGGAGGACCCATCCCCGGGTCCGAGCGCACCAGCGTTCCGAGCTGCGTCCCGCAGTAGGACAGCGCGGGGGCCTCCCGAAGGCCACGCAGTCGTCGTCTCGGCCCGCCCGCCCTCGAGAGGGGCCGCCCGAGGCGTCGAGGCCGCCGCCGACGGGGCAGGCGGCGGGCGCGTCGCTCGGGCGCAGCGGTGGCCCAGGCCAGCGCGCGCGGGGCGGCGGACCCCCGCGCGCGGGCCGTGGCCGCGAGCGTGCGTCGCTCAGCGGGCTTCTCGCATGCATCGTTAAGTCGGGCCTGTCCCCCTACAGGGGGATTTTCGACGAAAAACATAACATATCCCCAAAATAATCAACAAAATAATCAAAAAATAGTCTGGGGACTATTTTGTTGAGCATTTTTTGAACCTCTTGGGGTATGCTTAGGGTATTTTTTATTTTTCATCGAAAATCCCTCTGTAGGGGGACAAGCCCGACATAAATGCACCGTGGACCTCGCGGTGCGAAAGGTGGCCGCGCGGCTGGCCGCGAGCTCCCGGAAATCGCGGCCTGGCCGCGCAGGCGCTGGCGTGGCGTCCGGCCGGAGGTCGGCGCTGGGACGGCGAATGCTGCTGGCTGTCCCTCCCACGGGGCACGACGCCCTCCTATCCCTCGCGAGGGTAACCATGCCAGGGCAAGCTGCGGATCTCGCGGGCCAGCTGCCTCTGCATGCCGTCCTGCGCCGGGACCTGCGCGTCCTCCTCGCGCCGACCAGAGACGGCCTCAGGCGCTCCAGCCTGCCACCTTGCACACGGTGTCGCGCGCTTGCATGGCCCAGGGAGTTCAGGCTCGAACATGTCGTGGAACTTGTTCTTGTTGGTGGGCTAGTCCAGATTTGTTACGCGAGGCATCTGCGCTGCCACTCGAGCTGGGTTCTGACATAGGCGGAGGACTTCGCATTCGGGCTTGAGGTGAGTCCATTTGTCGACGTCAGGGTGCAGCCCTTTTTTGGTGGCACGCCGGCAACATCATGGCAGGCTGTCCTGCAAACGTGGCCGAAACTGCCTGGACTGATGCCGACAGCACGCGGCTCCAGGAGCAAGACAAGGGAAACAGGGCACAACCCACGAAAGGGAAACTCGCGCGTGGTAATCGCCTGGCTCCAGCCAGACGGATGACTCTGTGCAACCCTGTGCAGCCTTTGGAAGAAGGGGGCGGCAGGTGGTCTGGACCTCTGCGCGGAAACCTCTGGGGGAACGGTGGGCCCCTGGCGCTGAGTGCTCGGAGCTGGCCGGCGCGGGGCCGCGGAAATGTGGGGCCACATCGTATCAGCTGCTCGAGGACGTGCAAGTTCTTGACACTTGACCAGCTTGGGGAGTGAGCTCTTTTGTGAGGAGCGGTGGCACAGCACGGTGACCTGCTCGGCGACGCACTCGTGAGCCACCGAGCTACCTGCCACGCTGTGCGCGCGACTGCGACGGAAGCGCCCAGTCAAGTAGACGGGCTGTCCTGCGAGCGACGGCTTATGCGAACGGCTACCGCCCCTCTGCAACGGCGGGCGCCATACAAAGGCCCGGATGAGCTTGCGGCCACGCGCACCCTCAGCACGTGCGACGCCGTCTTCCAGAGCTGGGGCTGCCCTCGGCCTGTCGCCGAGGCCTGCGACGGCGTCCCGGGGATTGGCCATCTCGGGGGACTCATGTGCGGAAGGCGGGCGCGGCCTCCGGACCCACCCGTGCAGCTCGGTGATGTCCAGGCGCGGGATCTGCTGACGTCCGCCAGCATGGCTGCCGAGGGATTCTCTGCCCGGGCGAGCCTGGCCTCGAGCTCTACCACCTCGCGCTCTGTGATCTCAATGCGAGCGGGCGACCTTGACTCCCACCGCCCCTGCTTCAGTCCTCTCTATAGCCACCAGTTTGCCCTTGATTTTGCGAGTGGTGTCTTGAGGTGCAGCCATCAACTCATCCGTGGTAGCCTTGAGGATGGTTTGGGTACCTTTCAGCGGGTACGTACGGTCCAACAGCTGGCCCCACGTGACGTGTCTGCCACCTTCATCAATTTCGCCGTCTCCGTCCTGGGCACCACCACCGCCTTGCTCGTGAAATCCGCACCACGGATCGTGCTTGGACAGGGCGGCACGCCCACCAGCGCAGCTCCCGGCAAGTTGTGGGCCAGACTTCTGCTGGGAGGTTCCCGGCGACCAGAGGTCGCCTTCGCTCCACGACGGGCACGGCCGAGAGGAAGAGGAGACATAGAGAGAGAGAGAGACGGGCCGTGCGTGCTCGAGACGATATCTGGGGTGGGTGACGTGTGGCAGGCGCATGGCAAGCAAGCTCGAAACTTGTTGTGCAGCCCACAAGGCTCGTCCGACGGCGTGGGGACCGGGTAGGGTCAGCGGGAGCCAAACACCGCCATCGCGCCTCCTCTGTCTTGAGCCACCATGGTGACGGAAGGTGATGAGGAACTCTTTTTGCGTCGGCGGCGAGGCAGGGGAAGGCTGCGCTAGCGGAAAGGCCCACGCGGGGATGCCCTTATGGCGAAGTGTGCCACCATGCAAGAGGGGGAGGAGAAGACGAGGAGGAGCGGGAAAACGAAGCTGGGCAGGAGCAGGGAGCCGAGGAAATCGCCCTGGCGTGCCGGAGGCGTGCCCCCGCCCAAAGGCCTGTGACGTCCTGCGGGGATCGCAAAGACAAGGCTGGAGCGGGGGAGAGGAGTGCGATCGGGTCGAGGGAAGGCATCGGCGGGGGGGCGGGTGAGAGGGGGTCGAATCGAATGGGAGCGTGAGCGGGCTGAGGATGCGCACGCGCGTGCCGGGGCCCCCTCTCATACTGCACAGCGAGAGAGAGAGAGAGAGAGAGAAAAAAAAAAGACATAGAGAGAGAGAGAGAGAGCGAGAGAGAGAGAGAGATTGAGAGAGAGGGAGAGAGAGAGAGAGAAGGATAGAGAGAGAGAGGGCGAGAGCAATCATCAAAAAGATGGAGAGGGAACGTGAGAGGCGGAAATAACACACATATATATATATATAGAGAGAGGGAGCAAAAAACAAGAGAGAGAGAGAGATACATAGAAAGAGAGAGAGAGAGAGAGAGAGAGAAAGAGGGAGAGACGGAGTTAAACAACCATTGGCGTGACCTGTCCCCCAAAAGGAATTGTGTATTGCATAGACATATGGACACATGGACCTATCGATGCTCTCTCTCTACGTCAGAAACCAAACCAAATGTGATCATGGAAAGACCGGGGCGGCGGCTGAGATTCAAAGTAGGTCGCCGGCTGACTGCACCCCGAACCCTGCTGCCTGCGCACCCCCTGCAGCAGCGAATCGCCGGGCACGATCTCCCTGTCCGGGTTCTTGGCGTCGAACTTGGCGCCCTGCAGGATAGCTTTCGCCTCCAGGGGGCAAGAACCTACGACTGTCACCCTGTACCACGGCATAGATGCATGTGCGGGTTGTGCCCTGCGCCGTTTCGCAAGTTCTCTCACTCTTGCACTGGCTACTGGGAGCGACCCCTCGGCCGTAATGTCCGCCATCGCTCTCATGAAGGTGGAGGCGCAGCTCATGGCTACTATCAGGATGCCAATGCTCTTTGTCGCGAGCCGTTGTCGGCCTCCGGGGGCCGCTGGGGCCTGGGGCTGGCCATCGCTCGAGCGATGCCCAGGGGGGCCGTGAACAGAAACCCGGAGGAGTGGCGAGACGAAGTCGTGCCCCGCTGAGCCTGGACAGGCTGTGCGGTCCGGCGGAGGGGGGGGAGAAGGAAGAGAAATGCAGGTAGACGGCGACGAACGCGCAGGCGGGAGGCCAGGGCCAGGCCGGCGGGGCGGGTGGGCAGGCGGGACGGGGCCCTCGTGCGAGAGCTTTTCCATTGAGTGAGGTCTTGTTGCAGTCCCTGCCTGAATTTATGTAGCAGCGAAACACCACGCATGTGTTCGATCCATGGCGTCGTCTGAAACATCGCGACCATACTAAACGCTCTGGCCATTATGAAGAGCAGTGTTCCAATGCAAATAAGAAGAAATCAAAAGAGAGGCCCTATGGCCATGATGAGGAGCCGAAGCGCAGCAATCATTCCTGACCCAATGTTCGCATGCCAAGCGAATGGAGCTGGCCAGTGCAAGCCAGACCAGAGAAGTAGAACAGCCTGAGAAGACACGGTCACCAGAAAGTGTAACTACTTCGTGTCCGAGAGAGCTCATGTGCACTCGCTGAGCCATGCTTAGCTACACGCGCCATAACCTCATGTGTTGGGCGCCAGCGCGTGGGCTCAGGCAACTACGCAAGCTCGGGCAGTAACCGCATGGACCACAGGGCACCAAAGCGCGGCCGCCCGCAACAACAGGCACAGGGCACCACTCGTGGGAAGCTAGCCACAAGGCACCGCGCGTGACGGGCCGTCTGCGGCACAGGGGCAACCCATAGTGCGCCACCCATGAAGCACACGTCATCATCCTGCAGCCCCTCTTCCTCTCCCTACTCTTCCTGCTCATACTAGTCTTACGGATCCTGCGCATCCTCCTGCTAGACACTCCTCCTTACGATACACCTCCTCCTTCTCATCCTATTCCTCCTGTTCCCCCCATGCTTCTCCTGATCTGGAGACTGCGCCCCCTTCTTCATCACTCCATCTGAACCCTTCCCTCCTCGTTCTCCGTCTTCTCATCCTCTTCCCCGTGCTCCCCCCGATCCTTCTCCCCGTCCTCCTGGTCCTCCCAGTCCTCCTCTGGCGCCTTCTGGAGGCCGTCCGTCTCGATCTGGCGATTCTTCGCCCTCACGAGGAAGTTGACCTTTGAGTGCGCTCCGGAACCAGTGTCCCCTGCCCCTGCACCATACAGTTTCGGCGTTGACCTAAGGAACCCCAAATGAGGAACGAGGCCCCTTTTTCCCACAAGCTCAACTCCGATTTTCCATGGGAAACCTCAGGGGAACCCAAGGAGCACTGCAAAACAACTAAGGAACACGGAGCCCCCCACCAAACGAAAAGGGTTCCTCCTTCAGCGCCCCGACTGTACCACTGCCCCCTTACTTCCCCATCCTCCTGCCTCCGGAGGAGGAAACTGAGGAAGAGGGGGATGAGAGGGGAATGCGGTCAGGAACTTTTGTCAGGCGATCGCAAACATGGATCAAGGGGGCGTGGATTAGCGACGGGCCCCGTTTGAATCGCGGATTTCCGCCACCGAACGAGGCGGCACTGGCCGCATTTTGGGGATGGCACCTCTCCCGATCCATGGATTTGGCGACCGCGCGCCAAATCCATTGATCGCTAATCCATGTTTGCGCGCCTTCGATATTGGCTAGCGCGTCGCGGCGGCGGCCCTGGCGACCCGCTATGCCTATGCCTTGCTCAACATGTCCTTCCGCTCCGCGGGGCGGGAGGTCGGGAAAAGCTCGGGACGTTGACTCTCGTGGACCAGGACGTGGGCGGCGCGACCGTAGCAGTTCAACGCCACACGGCCGTAGTCGGTGTGGTGTCGCTGCCGCTTTTAGGTGTCTCCTAGATGGGGTTCGAATAGATGGGGTCGGGAGATCACGCTACATCGCCGATGCATCGCCGATGCATCAGCGATACGTTGGCGACGTCGGCGGCGCGTCGGCGACGCCAGCGCCGAGAAAGTCAGGCTCACGCCGAGCCACATCGGCGACGCATCGGCGATGCGGCGCGATCGTCCGACGACAGCCACTCGCACCCCACTTGGGGGCCCAAGGAGCCTCTCCTCGCCATCGCTCGGACGTCCACTCCCTGTGCTTTTGTTTTTGACTTCGTGCGTGGTTTTTTCTCCAGATGATCAAGGGTGCTCCTCGATGGTCCTCGCCGAGGGAAACATGCACACTTCCGAGCGCTGCCAAGTGTCTCTGCGACCAGGGCGCGATCGCCCAAGACACGCCCGGGCGCGCGCAGGCCTCCCCGCGCATGCGCGGGGAGCGCGCCCCTCTCTCTCGCAAGCAGGCAGCGGGAGACACCCGGGAGGTCTTCTTGGTGGGGACGAGTGGCACGCCCGGAACGGGTAATCATGGAAGCCATGGAATTGTTTCCAGGGGGGACAGATCGAAAATAGTTATTCGGATGCGAATTAATGGCAGTCGGGATCCGGCGGGGCGGGGGGGAGGGGGGGGGGTCGTAATTTTTTGAAGCGGTTTTGGACATTACGGGAGAAATGGGCACGATGCCCAACAGCAAGCTGCTGTTTTCCTCCTCGCCTGGCGCTGCCCGCAAGCCGTGAGGGTGTACAGTATTGTCCAGAGAGGACTGCGCCCTTACACGCCCGACCCCAGTAGCCACCCATCCTAAAAAGGGATGGGTGCCGGGGTCGCGGTTGCAGGAAGACGAGGGCAAGGATGCCCAACAGCGAATTCCGTCCGAGTGCGGGCGACTTCTTGTCTCAAGTGGGCAGCGTCCGTGGCGACACCGACAGCGAGTCCAGTTCAAAATGGCAGGCACTGGTGTCGATCTTCGTTCGCATTCTTTCCCTACCCGTTTCGATCGCCAGCGTCATCGAGGAGGACGATCATGAGGATAATGAGATGGATACTGAGAAGGAGGGGGAGGACCAGTGTACACCCAAAGCGCATCAACGATGTTGCAATACACCCTCCCTCCAAATTCCTTCTTCGCAGGTCCCTACAAGTATGTATTTTCACTGCGGGACGTGCCCCGTTGGAAGACAGCCGTCTCAGAATCCTCAATCGTGCCAAAAGCCACTTCTGGGATTTCACCGCCGCGAACCAACGTGGCTGTTACGTCTGGATGATCCTGAATCGTGCCAGAACATAATTTCTGAGACTTCAGCACAACGAATCGCGTGACTGTTGCGCCCTGACGCTCGGAAGTCGTGCCAAAGCACCGTTCTTGAGACGCGAACCGTAAGAATCCATAAAGCTGCTACAAGCTTTCGAAACACATGCGCGCAACGCTATGGCGAAAACCACATGTTGAAACCGATCCACTCTCCATCCGTGAAGGTCTGTCGGATCTTTAAAACGAAACGGGCGGCGCGAAGGCGAGGACCACATTTCGAAAACGGCACGCCCTTCATCCGTAAAGCTGCCGCAAGCTTTGAGGGCGAATGTGCGCGGCGCTGCGGCGAGACTCACACGTTGCAAACCTCCCGCCCTCCTTTCGTGAAGCGGTTGCAAGCTGTCGGGGATGGACAAACCTCCCTTTAGTAAAACGTGGTTCAGTGAAAACGGCTTCGGGCCCAAACCTGGCGGGCGCAAGCCTGGAAACTAACGGCCACGCCGCCCTCTCGAAAACCGAAAACGGACAACTCACTAATCGACGTGTCACTGTTGGGGGTTCTGTCCGCCCCCGAAGCTGTTGGAAGGAGAGCGCGCCGCGCGAAGGCGGGAACCGCACTTTGAAAACCTCCCGCCCTCCGTCCGCACCTCCGTTGCCTATTTCGAGCCTCGGGGTCATACGTGGCACGGGAGCCTCGGGCAGAACGCCCGGCCCGCCCCACCGACACGTCTGGGGGCGCGACAGGGAGGAGGCACTGACAAAGAAAAGGATGGAGGAGGATGGAGGAGGAGGAGGAGGAGGAGGAGGGAGGAGGAGGAGGAGGAGGAGGAGAGGAGGAGGAAGAGACAAAGGGGGGGGAGAAAGACGAGGACGCATCAGCATCAACATCAGGAGGCAGAGGAGGAGGAGGAGGAGGAGGAGGAGGAGGAGGAGGAGGAGGAGGAGGAGGAGGAGGAGGAGGAGGAGGAGGAGGAGGAGGACGAGAAGGAGGAGGGAAAAGGTTTGGAGGAGCGCGGGCGGGGACGAGGAACGGCTGGAGAAGGAACGCGCGAAACGGGGGGGGGGGGGGGCAGCAGCTTCTCCTTCCGCCCGCCCCGCCCCCTTCTGCCCTCCGCTCCTTCGTCCTTCCCCTCCTCAACCTGCTCCTTTCTGTTCCTCCTCCTGGACCTCCCCCTTCTCCCCCTCCTCGTCGACGTCCTCCTCCTCCTCCGCTTCCCCCCTTCCTCGCCCGATCCGGGGGGGGGGGGCGGGCAGCGCAATCCGCAAGCGCGCGCGCGGGGCCGGCGCGGGCATCGCCGACCGTGAAGTAGTTGCAGCCCGGCTCCTTCAGGGAGATCGCGGAAAGCAGACCGCCGAGCTCCTGAGGCGTGCTCTTCGTCTCTGGGGCTCTGCTGCTCCCGTTGTACTGAAGGACCACGGCCCAGACATGATTCCGATCACCCAGAAAAGTATCGAACAAGTGTCGAGCGAGTATCGCGTCCCAGGGCCGGACACGCGGACCCCCCCAGTTTCGGTACTTCCATGGTGCTCGAAATTCTTTCTGGTGATCAAAACTAAAGTAGGCAGGGGCAGCTGAGCAAGAAAGGATTAGGAAGCAGGAGCGCAAAGCGAGGAGCGATTCGGAGCGAGGAGGGGGCGGCGGCGGATGGGTAACCAGCCCAGCCGAAGAGATCTTCGAGAAAACAACAATACGAGACGCATGTCGCAATGTGCGACCCACCGCGCGCGGTACATTTACTGCGAGTGGGCCCCCACGGTGGAGGCCTCGAGCTGTTGCGACCCACCGCGCGCGGTACATTTACTGCCAGTGGCCCCCCCACGGTGGAAACCTCGAGCTGTCTTCGCACAACCAAAGTTGCAGAACACCGAGGCCGAACCGCAATCTAGGAGCGGGCTGACGGCTGTTGCGAACAGCAACCCCACGTCAGAACTGACCGTAACAATCATCGCAATGACCACGGTGGCTACGGTCGGCCTGTATCATAAGGATGCGCGATAAGGACGCAATGGCCTTGGGCGCGCGTTTCGAAGCTTTTTCGAGCGGGGCGCGGCCAACGAACGTGGCCAATGTTGGGCCGAGGAGGGAAGGGTGCAAAGGTGTCCTTGGGAAGGATGCCCATGCTTACTATGCGGGTTGACTGTGCCTGAAGGAAGTCCCTCGGATCGTGATTTCAACGAGTTCTTTGAAACTGCGCTGCCTACGTTCAGGATGGGGGAGGGAGGTCTCGGAAGACGAGTGGGGAAGCCCGCATGAGCGGCGCGGCACGGGCGCGCCTCGCCGCCGCAGGACAGGGCAAGGCAGCCTCACTCACCGCGTCCTGCCTGCCCGCGGAAGGCCCACGAGGAACAGCCTGAAGGGGTCTTTCGCGGTGCATCCCGAAAATGATTCCGTCGAAACGTCTCCACGCTAGAACTCCCATCATCATCCCAGGCGCGCTCGACCACATTAGAAGTGCGCTGCGGATCAGATCCGTAACGTTGCGATTCTGAGCCTGGGAGGCCATCTCCAGGACATTGCATTTTAGCACCTCTTTCCAGTGGCAACTATTACGACGGCGAGCCCAGGCCGCTCCTAGGCGCTTGCGATCCAGCGCCCTGGCCCAGCAACATCTGCAACGACTCCGATACAAGGTCCGGCCGAGGCATATGCGATCTAGCGCCAGGCAACTCTCGGCCCAGGAGGCCGTCCCTAAGATTTACTCGAACCCCGAATTTCAATCCTCGAACTCGTCGGTCGCCAACTGCAGAATCCTGTCCACGTTCGACCTAGGAGCTATGCCTGGACGAACCTCGCCTGCGAGCTGCACTGCGCACTCCTGGAATGCGAACGTCGCTCCACGTCTGCGAGCGCAGCTCCATCTCGGCGAGCCCCTCCGCGACCGCCTGGCTTACCTTGAACCCGCGGATCCACGGGGCCATGTCCGACATGCCCGTGGTCCCGTCGGGTCTCTGCGTATGGGCCTCCGGCGCCTGCTTGTTGCGAGCGCCGGCCCGCTCGCCCGCGTTCGTGATCTCCTCGGCTACCACCGGGGAAAGCTGCGCGCGTGCTGGCCCCATGGCTGTTCCTGGCTCCAGGTTGCTCGAGCCGGCCGCGCGCTCCTCGCCCGCCCTGGCCGCCGCCGTTGCGCGCGCCCTTCCGCCCTGGAGCGCCGCCGTCGCGGTCGCCGCCGACTCGCCCGCCGCGGCCGCCTGGAACTCCGCCGCCGTCGCCCGCCGCGCCCGGCGCGAGCTGCCGAGAACCGCCCGCGCGGTCGCTGGCGCATGGCCGCCATCCGCGGCGACGTGGCGGGGGGCTTCTCGATCGCGCCGGGCGCGGGGCAGCGCGCTCTGCCCGCTGTCGCCATGAGGTCCGCGCCGCGGCCCCGCGCTCGCCGCCTCGGGCCCGCTGCCGCTCGCCCCCTGGGCGGCGCCGCAGAGGCGCCCGACTGCCGCGAGCCCCCCTGCGAACCCCGCCGCCGCGGCCCCGGGAGGCGGCCGCTGGTCCTGGGCGGCCGCGCCGAGAGCCATCTCGATCTCCTCGCCCCCTGGAGCTGCCCCATTCTGCATCCGCCTGCTCGTCGCTCAGGCGGAGCGTCGCTGCCCCTGGAGAGCGGGGCGCGCGGGCCGTCGGAAACGACGGGGCGCGCGCGCAACTGATCCCTGCTCGCGAAGGCCTCGATCTGTGAGCGACACGTGGCGACGCGGCCTCCAAACACAGACTCGACCGCGAGCGCTGAGGAGGGGCGCGCGAGATCAGCTGGCCCCTCAATCGCGCGAGCGAGCGGTGTAGCTCAGGGCCGACAATGCCCGCATGGAACCGATTGCACAGCGAGCGCTTGCGCAGCGCGTCGCGCGCGGATGGCCCGGCGGTAGCGCGGGCGCTCGTTCGCAACCGCGAGCGCGCGCGCCGCAGATCTATAGCTGCGCCGCCCGCTGCCCGGCATCCCCGACTGCAGGCGGCGCCCTGCGCGCGGTGAATTCTCGCTTGCATGGGGCCCCCGTCGAGTCAGTGGACTCACGCGCCCAAATCGCAGCCGTTGGCAAAGGGCCTCGGAGCCCCGCGAGCAGCTTGCGGGGCGCTCGGGGCAGGCGAAGTCTCGGCCGCCGCGCGCGCGACAGCCCGCAACGCCCCGGGATCCAGCTTCAAGACGCGGTCCCGGATAGCCCCACCCAGAACTAAAGCCCGAACGTTCGCGCGAAACGTCGCCGCGCCCTCTGAGTCCCCGCGCGTCCACCAAGAGCCCCTTTCCCCTCTCCGCCCTCTCCAGTGACCTCGCGACGTCGGAGACAGACCTGAGGGTGCATGAGTTCGCCCCAGCCACCAGGGCTCCGCCGGGTCCCCGATCCACTGGGAGCAGGCCGAGAATGCCGCCCATCTGCTGGGCACGTCGAGCAGGGCGCCGCAACCGACGCCGGCGCGCGCGGAAGCGCCGAATCTTCAGCTCGGTGCGAGAAGGGTCGTGCCGACTTTCCGCAGGACGACTTCATCTGAACGCGACGCGTACGTGAGGACTGGCTGATCATTCGCATCCATGGTGGGATCTACACGCGCGTCGAGAACATGATGTTTTCGTTACAAGCATCGCGTCCTAGCAGTTTCTTGGCGGACGCTACGAGCACGCGACCCGGCCAAACCTCCAGAGCACTCGCGAGGATCAGGGTGGTAAGTGCTGACAACAACGCTCTCTGGACGACCGCCCCGAACGCAACCCGCCTGAAACGCTAGACCCGATTCGTTGCCCAGGAACTGTCCATGAAGTAGCACCCGCGACGGCGAGCTAGTATGCAATATTGCGCGACGTCTACGCTCTCCCTGACCCCATCCGTCGACGGCATGTCGGGTACCAAAGGCAAGGCTATCAAATTGACGCTGGCCCCCTAAGGCGGCTCGACCTAGGACATGCCAGAGAGGTGCTGATGAGGCCCTGGCCAGACGAACGGCGGCGATGCGCTGCTGTCCCCAGCGTTGCGAGCGTTGCCGCCGAAGTCCAGCGCGCAACGCATCTTGCCACGTGCAGCAGCATGTGCCGCTGGGTGGCAGCGAAATTTTGCTCGTGTCGTCGGCGCATAGACGACGCGGTAAACCCGTGGGCCTCCTGGGAAATGTCGACCAAACCGCGCGCGAAGACTCGCTCGGCCAGATCGCCAATTCAGGATCGTCAAGGGGAAAGGGAGGAACGAAGAGGCTGGGGCGCCCACTCGCCGCGCGTCTGCGCGCGCCCGGGAGCAGGCAGCGACCTCCAGGTAAGCCGACGGATCGGCCCCCGAAAAGTCTGGGCGGGAAAAACTGCCGCGGGACTGTCGCCCATGGAAGCTCCACGCTCGTCATGCAGCGTGTAAGAACACTCGGCCGCCTCGATCCTGAACGCGTTGGCCTCGTGCCTCTGATGGTAAGAAACTGGTCTGCGGGAGCGGTGGCTGCATCGACCGTCTCCCTGAGCCCAGAAACAAATGGGTGCAGCCGAAGGCGTCGGGCACGTCTTCCGCGGGCGCGGTGGAAGACGGCTCTCTCGCCCGCAGTCTGCCCGACAGCGCCTCCTGACAGACAAATCCCCCCTCGCGGTTGCGGCCGGGGCGGCGCCCGCGCTCGCGATCAGGGACGTCGTCGGAATGAACTCCTTCGCGGAAGAGCTGCGCGCCGCATCGCGCCCGCCCGACGCAGTCCGCGGATGCTGCGCCCAACGCCTCGGCCTGTCTTGCCGTTCCTTCTGGACAAACCAGTCGCGCGAGATCAGTGCCGCGCCGCCAGTGTCTGCCGAACGTATAATGGGCAACTTTCTGGGTGACCTGAAGGGTCGCGGCATTGGGGGGCCCGGCTGCATCGGCCCCGAGCCACTGACAATCCCCTGCTAGCCGATGGCGTGGCCCGATCACTTGACGAGCAGAAGCCGACTCGCGATCGTCCCCGTAGCCATCGTCGCGTCGCTTGGGGTCGGGGACAAGCGCTGGCGCCTCGCGCGGAACGCTGCGCATCGGAGCCGCCTTCCTGCGCGCCGCCTTTCCCAATGGAGCGATGGCGTCCTGTCGGCCGTCGCGACCGTCCTCCACGCGCGAAGTTGTCGCGCCCAGAGGCCCCGGGAGATGGGGGGCCCCCCGGGCGCTCGCGTGGACGCAGCTAATTAACGGGCGCCGCGTCGAGCCCCCCCTCTGGGCCCGGGCGCGCACAGTTGTCCTGCGGCGCATCCCTTCCGAGGTGCGAAGTCGTCCGCCGCGCCGCGGCCCCCCTCGCGCGGTCGCCTGCAAGCGGGCGCGCCAGCCGCCAGATCGGCGTCGAGTCGACGACTTTGCCGCGCTGCTCCAATCTCGCCCGCGAACTTCTCCGTGGACCCACCCTGGCGCGCTCGTCGGAGAGGTCGCAACTTGCGACGCGCGCGCAGGAGG